AATATTTTTTTACTTCAGGTTCGATAAATTCGAAGATTTCGATATTTTTTTGAAAAAAAATTCGAAAACTTCGAACGCTTCGAATTTTTACAGACATGAAGTTCGAACAATTCGAAGATTTCGAATTTCTTTCTGCATAAAGTTCGAAAAGGTCGAAGGTTTCGATTTTCTTTTAACGCTAAATCAAAAAAAAAAAAAAAAAACTTTGAAGATTTTGAATTTTTTTCTAATCCAAGTTTTCAAAGTTCGAAGTCCGATTTTCAAGTTTTTCCACAGTTTCAGTTTTAAATAACGTTTTCACGACTCACTGGTTTTCACAAAATCAAGTTTAGAAAAGTTAGGGTGTTATATCTAGATTCTGCGAAGTTGGTCAGGCAATTAAATGAGACGACGAGTGCTTGATTTTTCACAAAATCAAGTTTAGAAAAGTTAGGGTGTGATATCTAGATTCTGCGAAGTTGGTCAGGCAATTAAATGAGACGACGAGTGCTTGATTTTTCACAAAATCAAGTTTAGAAAAGTTAGGGTGTGATATCTAGATTCTGCGAAGTTGGTCAGGCAATTAAATGGGACGACGAGTGCCCCGGGCGTGTTAGAATATTTGCCAGTGCAGAATTGTGACCGCCAGCCCCGGGGGGGGGGGGGGGGGGGGGGTTTAACCTGCATCACGCAGTAGTGATTACACGAACACACTGTTTTACGAGACTCATCCAGTTCGAAACGGCCAGGGGCGAGCAGGAGGTTGAGGCTCGGAAGAACCTTGAAGCGACCTGGCAAACTAGCTCGCCACCCCTTGCACGCTGGAAGTAATCCGATCCGGTGAAGTTTATAATTGTCCTGGAGGTTTATTTTCTGGGACGGAGGAATCGCCTCGCAAAAAGCACAAAAGCCGACACAGCTCGAGGTCGAGGAGCGTTCTACCATACAAGTGGCGTCGGAAGAGGAAAAACGGGGGGAAAGAGGGTAGCGAGGGGGGGAGGGGGGGGGGGGGGCTGGTTTTAAGCCTTTTTCTCTCCCTTGCAGGTATTTCGGACTGTTAAAGAAAACAATACGGGGAAAGAGAGCGTGGTCGAGCTTATTTTAATCTGAAATTATTTATGCATATGTGTAGCTACTGTCGCTCTTCACTGCATAAAAGGTTGCGTAGATGGTCATTGTTAGAAACTCGTTGTCAGAAGGCACTACTCGTCACATGCTTAGTGGTTCGGAAGTTTAAAGCTGTCTTTTCGACCTAAATACCTGTGCCAATAAAAAAAAAAAAAAAAAAAAAAAAAGAATAAATGCGAGAATAAAAAGGAGGAGAAAAAAAAAAAAAGCTATCAAGAATTCGTCGGAAGTGTTCTATTGCATATTCAGAGGTTCAGAACTTCGAAACAAGTTTCTTTTACCAAAATGTGTACAAGCTAAAAGAAACACGTCCCAGGAACGTGAAGCGACAAAAAAAAAGTTTTCTTTTAATGACGTGCTGAACTTAAACACTATTAGATATGTACGTACTGTCTGTGGTGTTAATTTAAATGCGATACCTCAAACAACTTAGACGAAAATAAATATCAAGTTTAGGTCATAATTGCAAGCAGATACATATTGGGACATTTCTTCGAAACTCACGTTGAATAACAATCATCACATCTTAGGACGGCACTTACCTAGGCTATACATAGATCTTTCTTAAAAAAGTATACCATAAATAGCTCCGGCTGCAGCGTGCTTCAAATCTGGCACAAATGATAATCGTCAAAAACTCGTCGTCCTTCCTCGTCTCTTCGGGGATTTATTTCTTTAAACCTAAGCATGCCAGAACATTGAAATAACCGACATTGTCTTTCGTAAGGAACGCAGCACCGCGTGTACTAATTCGAGAAAAAAAAAATTATGAATGTACCCCACTACTTGAAATCAAATGAAACCGTCCGCCGGTCTTTCGAAGTTCGACGGACGTCGAACTTTTACCCTAAAAGTTCGAAGTTCGTCGAACTTCTGACATTTCAGAATTCGAAAGTTCGAAACTTTTCGAATTCTCTTGATAAATAAGTTCGAAAATTCGAAATTCATCGAATTTTTTTGTCAGTCAAGTTCGAAAGTTCGACAAGCATCGAACCTTGCAGCGCAATAAGTTCGAAAGCTCGAAAAAGATCGAATTTTTTAGCGTAATAAGTTCGACGGTTCGAAAAGCGTCGAAGTTCTTAGCTTAACAAGTTCGAAAATTCGACCTCCGTCGAATTTTACGATATAGACAATTCGAAAAATCGAAATCTCTCGAACCTTACGAACCGCTTGATTCGATCATCGAAACTTCGATTCGAAAAAAGTTCGCGGCATCCCTATTCTAAAGTTTGAAACACCTTGAGCTAAAAGAGTGGATTTTAATTTATCGTATAAGCCCGGCGGTGTATTTTTTCCCTCGCGACGAAAAGGTGAATTTAAGTTTATCGTACAAACCCGACAGTTTATTTTAGGAAACAAATTTAACGAGATACCTAAGCCTGACAGAATATCGCAATACAAGCGACACATTGTAAATGTATTTACCTTCCTGGGATACAAATATATTTTTCAAATTCATTCTATCTGAAAATGCAGGTACCCGAAAGTATGTCTTAAGATACTGAAGAGATACATTTTTCGCGCGATACTGCCCAGCCCGAGACAAACGATATATATCGTCAGCTGACTGACACTGCATCCAGCATTTGGGAAGGCTCTTGTCCTGAGAAGCCTCTTCAGTATCCATGGCAAACAGGGGCAGGGGGCGTGGGAGTCTGTCGGTGACAGTGAGGTCTGGATGGAAGGCACGAAGACACTACGGTGGGGTGGGTTTACAGGAGATTACTCATATCAGGAAGAGGGCGTTAGACGTTGATCTCGAGGACCGCTTTGTAGAAAAGAAATCAAGAAGCGATTGCAGGGCTTCTCGTTGTTTGGGTCACAACGGGAATGTGTCCATTCTTCAAGGTCAGTGATATCCGTTGAGCGATGGTTTATGCGCTTGTCTTTACACCCGACGCATTTCTAAAAGAGATTCGTATGATCCGCAATCTCGCCTTGTATCTTGCGTTCGCTACATTGAGTTGAAGGCGGTGAATTCGTTCATTGTTACAGTTTTGCCGGTGTGCATGCGGTGCTTGTGCGGATCCCGGTGCGGGTAACTTTGGCTCCCCTACCGCTCATTCACACTGGAAGCGGATCCGCGTTCGCGAAGCGGTTGCGAACGCGGTTGTATAAAGATCCAGTACAATTGCACGCGCACTTGACGTCATCGAGTGCGCGTGCAATTGCACTGGATCTTTATAAAACCGCGTTCGCAACCGCTTTGCGAACGCGGATCCGCTTCCAGTGTGAATGAGCGGCTACTGAGGCCGATCGGTTCCAGCTGGGATATGAGTGGAAGCTTCTCCTACGGAGCGGTTCGAGAACGCTGCCTGATATCTTGCTTCTCCTATTCCTATTGTAAAATCATAGCTATCGTCCATTGCGCTTCATCTGCTATATTCACAAAATGGCGGCACACCCCAGGATAATTGTTGTGTGTCTATACTCTAAGTGTAATTTCCTTAGTGGCTCTCGCACAGCTGTGTGCGTTGCTGTAAGGTGCGAGCTAAATACCAGCGGTTACAAGATTCTTTTTTTATCAGTCAAAGTTTGCTCAATTTATTTATTTACCTTAAGGAACCTTTCGCACATTGCATAGGAGGAACTTGTGTCAATTTCAGCACATATACCAACCCAGATAAGTAAAAAAATAAATAAATTAAATGCAATAAAATTTGCAACGCATTGAAATGTAGAAAAGAAAATGGTTGAACTCGGCGAACCGAGATTCGGCCACTTCCGTTTTCTTTAGAATAGCAAGAAAATGAAGAGATATAAAAATGTTTAATGTTCTCGAGAGCCAACGTTCAGCTCCTTGATTCCGAATGTGCAAGGGGGTCGTTCTTGTAGATTTGTGCTGTTGATAATTTACTTCGTCATGGTTGTCTAGCTAAGGAAAGGTCCTTTTGGGCGGTGCTGAGGGTAACTGATATAAACCAAAGAGGGGTTCTAAAGCCACGCCGCTTTGTGCGGCGCAGTTGCACGCGCTGTACACTTCACCCGGATCTTGTTACTATAGACCGACACGCTGTTTACAAACAAGCCCGCGTTTGCCCACACCAGGTGTGGGCACTGCGCATGTGCAGAAACCGAATTCGAGTGAACTGAAGCTTTTGCGCATGCGCAGTGCCGTCGACAGCGCCACCGCAGCTGCGTGACGTCAGGGACGCGTGTTGGTCTATAGGCGTACAGCGTCCACCCGCGTATAATGCCATATATGGCCCTGACATATCATACGCCCGGCATTAGATCTGCATACACTTATATAGCGGTATATATATCTCGCTATAAACATAACATCGCTATATGCGTGCTCAAAAAACGGAAATATATTGCCACGCAAAAATGCTCAAAAACCCGGGTGAATGCCCGGGATTTCCAGTATTAAAAGAGAAACATATTGACTTAGCGGAATTAGTGACTCTAAGCCGAATGAACTCTTCAACTAAACGTTTCGCCTCCCATGCGTGAGGCCCTTTCAGTATACTGTAAATTGCAATGGCGGAGTACATATGGAATTGGCTTATTTAAGAGTTTCGTTTGTGTAGACGTCCGATAGGGGCCACGGTTTTTACTTACGTGCGACGTGCCATGTACGCAACATATGTCATTTGCCATATAAAAGGGCCAAAACTAGGAGGATATGAGAGATACGGCTAGATATGCCATACATGGCCGGGCGTTTCCATATGTGTTCCATATGCCTTATTTTTTTACATCTGCATATCCGGGATTTTTCAACAAGTACAGCTCTGGGATTTTTTTTTTTTTTTTGTAGCGGGCGGGAACCTCGCGTATAAGCAAACACGATAGTGTCTGCGAACAGCGCGTTGTTCTAAAAGGAGGTGTTCTCACGTGGTCATGACTCGTAAGAAATGCGAATGCCGCTCGTCATGGACTCCTTGCAGCCAACAATTCGCTGCTCCAGTGCTGCGGCGACCAGGTCTCTCCTGACTGTTTTCCCGTGCGTGTCTCGGACGACGACCCGTTCTTTGGCCCGCTCAACGTCAAGTGCCTCAACGTGGTGCGATCCTCGGGCTGCACCGACTGCTCGGGATTCCGTGAGTGACATCGGGACGCTAACTTGCCATGAGCCGATTTCGGTATGGGCTTTTAACATGTCGGTTGCCGGACCGGCGATACCTTCAGTTCGATAATTTGCGGAACGAAACTAAATTTGGTGGCTTCATTTTAGGACGATGTAGCAGCAAAGAAACGTAATTGCAAAAGAATAAATGAAGTATAGGGTTGGTAACCGTTTTATCGTGATCGGAGAAGTTATAAGTTTCTCGTTAATAATTTACATGAAACATTAATTGTCTTTATTTATGCTTTATAAAAACATCTGGATTTATGACATCTCATTTCACAAAAAATAAGCAAATAAAACTAAAATAAATTGTTCAAAAACACACTTATTCGGTTATTCGGCATCAAACACTTCTACGAAGAAAAAAATTAAAACCCAAAAAACAAAAATAGAAAGATTCCAAGTAGCTACAAAATCAAATAAATATTTACTGACCTATCTAGATCGCAGTTGACAGTGGTTGTTGATTATATATATATCCCGAGCAATTACGCATTCATGACGGGTTTATACAGAAACCAATTAACATATAGTACAACTGGTAACGTTCCCTAACAATGAAGAGTCCATAAAAACTGCAGTGAAAAGACAATAAAAGTGCAACCCCCCCCCACCAAAAAAACAAAAAAAGAGAAAAAAAAAACAAACAAACTTTGTTGCATTTTTTTGGCGTTCGAAAGAAAAAGCGTGTATATCCGAAAACGACCTTTGCATGTATACAGGCAGCCCATGCCCGCGCAGAATCAAGTTCTGTGCTTGATTCTGGGCGGACAAGGCCAATTATATGACTTTTCGTGTAATTGGAAAAGGCAAATTACATGACTTTCTTTTTTTTTGTCAAAGTTGAATGATTGTTGCAGAATCACTTTACAAGTATTTAAACAAACAATACAAGCGTATTTGCAGATGTACGAGTTCTTGAAAACCTTTTCCTTAAAATAACACATTACCATTTTTGGTTAGATACCCAATCTTACTTATCTTGGACTCCATCTTAAAAACGCGGTAATCTTATAATGTTCACAACGTATTTTGTTAACAAGGCAGTAAGTAGCTCATTAAATCTCTTAGTATTTGTTAACGTGAGTGCGGTGTTTAGTATGGCGTTTTTAATTAAACGTTCAATAGTATGAATTTATTTGCACATGGTTTCATTTCACTAGATCTGTGTGAACTTGGAGATGCTCAATTAATACAAGTGGCTTATTTTCTAGCCAGTGCAACTCCGTTTTACAAAGAAGAGACGACAGCGCCAGCGTGAATGCATGTACTCATAATAGCCAAGTACTACCAGGCGAGCAAACAAACAACGCTGTGCGCAGATAACAAATACAGCTTTTTAGCAACCCAATCAATTTTCGGCTGTGCCCCGGATGTATCGCCTTTTGAAGAACAATATTTTTTTCTTCTGCGTTCTACTGGTTACTCTAGAATAAAAAAAATACTAACACGTAATAGTTTCAGGCGAGTCTGCGCTGCATGTTTCTTGAGTCTTCGTGTGCGGGAATCATGTGTAGGGTTATGTTAGCGGTGGCCGTTCAAAAGCAGGGGCGGATCCAGAACTCCGTTTGGGGGGGGGGGGGGGGGACATTTTGTAAAGAGTCATTCTCTCATTCTTTCTGTGCACCGGGGGGTCCACCCATGTCAAATTGCCCTCCGAGAGGGGGGGTGGGGGGGGGTCGACTTTGTTTGGGGGGAGGGGGGGGGGGGCGGCCGCCCCCGTCGCCCCGGCCTCCCCCCCTTTGGATCCGCCCCTGTTCAGAAGTAAACAATGTGCGTGTTTAGAGAAGTGTATACGCTGAAAACACCGGAAAATGCAGAACTTTTGTAATTTGAAGCACCAACATGCACACGGACGCGCAGGCTCCCGCAGTTACCTGCAACATTGAAGAAAACTACACGAAAGAAAAAGTGTACATCAATGCCTGAAGATCATTATGACGCAGTAAAGAACATTTGCCTAATTAGAGTATTTATTTGTTTTCTTAAAGCTGCATTGCGACAGTTTCAACGAAGTAAAACAATTGATGTTCTCATTTTTACATAAGTAGCTTACCCTGAAACAAGTGAAAGAAAACGCACTACCTTAACCTGAAAAAGTTCATGTCCGCTGCGTAATTGTAAAGGAAAAACGCATTGTTTCCCAGTCTGCAGCCGCGTGTGGCTCCCGTGGGAACCACGGCGTCCCCTCATGGAGAGTACACGAGTTTTCATGTCGCCATCTAACTTAAGTCAAGAAAACCAATCCTTCTCCGCTACTTCCTCCCCATAGCAACCGTCTTATGTCTCGATCGCGCGCCGTAACCTTCGGCGATGCCAAGCCCTTGAAAAGTCGACAGGCAATGAGAGAGCGTTGCGGGCTCTGAATACAGAACCCAACGGTAAACCACTGGTACCACCCGTGACGTCACTCGAAGGATGGTGGAAGTTGAGGATTACCCCGAACTGCGATATGTTTATTCATTTAAATGCAAACTAGAGCCAAAAGAAAAATTGTTTTAACTTTTTCATTCTATAGGTGCCATAAACTAATTCCCACAATTAGTTGGCCGAAGTAAAAATATCGTTTCACCACCCCTTTAATAAATTCATGACCATGCTACAGAAAGTATAAATGGCGCATGTTAGTGACTAAATGCTGGTTTACATTAAAAAAAAATGACCTAGGGGTGATAGGTACAGAAGCGCACCAATACCCTTGTTACAAGGGCACACTTAACTGCAGTTACACGAAGCAACAGTTAGCGCACAGTACTTGCGGAAAACATTGTGCGGCTATACAGTCAAAGCTGTAAGCGAACGTGCGCTTAAAGGGGCCCTGCAATGACTTTTTGACTGGTTTTAATTTGCACCGAACATGAGCGCACTGAACGTAGTAACTTAATCAAACTTTTCTTTTCTCAAATTTCGCTTTATTTTAAAAGTTATAGGCGAATTAGAATTAAAAAACAAGCAAAAAATAACCTCCTTCATGACGTTGTAGGTCCTGGCTTGAGTGGCCGTGAACTAGAGGAGGAGTAGTGAGCTCATCGAGCGTTCACGGTTGCCGCACTCCGGGTCAACGGCTCGAGAGGGCGCCACTAAAGCATATGTTGGATAGGCTCTATGAAGCGGGCGGCCGGGGCGGCTCGCATTGCATTTGCTGCGCGATTAAAGACTATTTCGGCATAACACTTCATTGGCCACAAACGACAGAAAACACGGGGTAAAGATCAGTTCAGAACGGGAGCCACTTCGCGCTGCCATGCCGCCAAATGGCCAAATCGCCAGCAGGGCCCGCGCCGAAGGCCTTCGGAACGCTCGGAACCGGTCGGATCGTTGAGCCGGTATACGACCGCAGCGCCGCCGCGTACATCCGGGGCTTTTCTACGCTGGCCGTTCGTCGTAGCCTCATCCCACTAATTCTTTCTAGTATGCGCCGTTCTTTCTGCCCCTGGTGGCGGGTATGTCGACGGGTCTTTTCTTGTTTCCGTACTTTATAAACTGCATTTGTTTCTTTTCTGATCTAAAATACTGAACAAAAACTACTTTTATAAATAATTGAAACGGTTCGCGCCACTTATATTTTGTATTTCGACTACGAAAAAGCTTTTAGCGGCTCTGACCAATAGTAAGCCTAGGACCAAACACGTCACATTTTGCGTGCTTTCGGTACCGCGGGTCGCCCTCGTCGGTGGAGGTGGTTTCCGCGCCGTCCGGTTAAAATATGTCGCACTGATATTTAGTTACTCTCTCCGTGCCCGCTGGCTTGCCCGGACCCCAAGAGACGTGGAAACCGCAAAAAAGGTAGTTGCTTAAATATGATTGCAGGGCCCCTTTAAGCACCTTGAGCACCCATCAACGTTACTAGATTACCTCAGTTGTGGAACTCCCGCGGGAGGAGGTACCCCCCCCCCCCCCTCACTCACTTCAATCCGCCAGCCGTCGTTCCAAGCGCCATCTACACTTTTGTTTCATAACTGTGCGTTCCATAGAGCTGCATAGAGCAGGGCTGAAACGTCATCTAGACGTCGTGCTTCGAAACGTACGTATCCCATAGCATACACTGCAGTTACCGAAGCAGCCGCACGGCGCGTCCAGCGACGCCAGGCGAGTCGTGGTGAGTGAGGGGGGTGCGTGCAGCGTCTATGAGCAGTTCCGTAACTGGGCTAATCTAATAATGTTGGCACCCATCAAAGCAGTGCACGCGCGCTCTTCACTTCTTCTGAATTAGCTGCCCGGGGGTATAGTGCGATAAATTTGGTGCCGAGTAACAGAAGTTAAAGCTGAGTTAACCGCGGGTAAGGGTGCCCCTGTAACAGGGGCACAAGAACCTTGATCTATTTTATATGTTTGCCACAAACCTAAACCGCAGACGAGAGGCGGTTCGTGAATCAGCAGACGGCCTACTTGGACGCTTCGCACGTCTACGGCACCTCGGCCGCGGCCCTGGCTACTCTACGGGACAAGTCCCAGCCCGAGTTGCTGCTGCTTCCCAACGGGATCTTGCCCCCGAGTTTAAACCCGACCGAAGATGGCTGCAGCGACCCGAGCTCGAGCCAGTTCTGCTTCCGCGCCGGAGACGGCCGCGTCAACCAGCAGCCTGGCATCGCGTCGCTCCATATCCTGTACGCCAGGCAGCACAACAGGCTTGCCAAGGAGCTGGGCAGAACGCACCCAGACTGGGACAAGGAGACCGTCTTCCAGGAAGCCAGGTCAGTGCGGCCCGGACTTTCAAGACACTGCAGCACTCTAAAGAAATCTGGATGGTCTAGTTTCCCACAAAGCACTTGGGAAAGCCAATTGCAGTAATCTGTGGGAAGCCCTGGGCATCACGAGGCTGATGATATTTCTAGTCCCAAAAAATATTACAACATGGTCAAGCATCGTGCGCAGTGCCACACTGCGGACTGTTTTCTAAGGTCTGAACATGTGAGTCTCCTTATTCGCCTAGCTCTCTTGTTAGATTGCAGCGATCGACTTCTTTCACAAGTGTTTTGTGGGAAAGTAGACACTAAAAATACCTTGTTCCCGAGTTCCACTTGAGCGGCAAATAGTAACAACCGACACCGACAAGCCTCAAAAACAAGCAGAATGCATGCGAAGATACCTGTGGCAGGTTTGCAGTGTCTTTGTGCTCGTAAAGTGGGCACTGGCGATTCCAAGTCCGCAAAAGCTACCATCGCGTGCATCCCGCACGCGAAGGTCATCAGCGAAACCGTCAGTCAGCACAAACGTTCATTCCTGAACCCCACATCTACATGGACGTCTCTTCGCCGTCCATGAAACTTCATGCAGCTTCCTCTGTGCAGATTACACGTGTGCCCACTGATGGCCTTTTTGACGCGTGGTGGAATACTGGGAACACATTAGATGTTTTGTACATTAAAACATATTTCATCCTTTTTTTCTTTACAGTTTATAAAGAAACCCTCGTTTTTGAGCTGTACATCAATTAACTTTTCTGTGCGGCGTTTCGTCTGTTGTGTTTATTCGCGTTTCTCTTTCGTTCCTGTGCAGCGCTTCACCAATACGCTAAATGTTCTAAGCAAAACCCCTGTACGCCTGTACCGTTTACGCTAACACACACACGCTAACAGATATCATATTCTCGACATCTAAGACTTAGGGGCCAAGAACGAGAAATCTTTCTAGTCTCAGAGATATATGTGAAGTACGGAAAACTCAAGATATGATCTTACGTCCGTTACCCTGTTGTCCCGCCTGTCTCTGGAAGTATCTAAACCAAATGTTGCACACTATGATAGTCACTCCTAGATATATCCATCCGAACATAAATTATATCCCGAAGATTTGTCTGACGAGGCCGCCGTGTTCACTGCCATAACCATGTGCATATGGGACTGGGACACCCAATAATCTTAAAGTAGAACCCGGATGTAGTCACCAACAATCCCTTGTTCATCAGAAAAACTGTAGCGTGCTGTTCAAACTTCTAGGCGACTTTAAAACTCTTATCTCATCAGGAGCCGTAATCCGACAGCTGCACGCGATGCAGTCCCTGAGGTCATAGTTGGCACACTTGGGATTAGCGCGCTCAACTTTGGCAGACCTGTACCTGCGAGACCGGAATTCTCTAACACTGTCCATGGAGCTCTGCTTAGAGAACTATGAAGTGGTAGGCCTATAATTGCGAAGGTTAAGTTAATATCTGGAGTAAGCCTGCATTACGCCATTGTGCTTTCGAGCCAATGTGTACTTGCTTTACATTTTAGCGCAGCTTTTGTTTTGTTTAATTTATTTTATAGCGGCAAGGTGAAACCGAGAACAGATTGACCTAAATAAAAGTCTATAAAATATCTAAAAAAAAACGCGCAGAGACTTAATCCTCGTAACAAAAATTTCTGGATGCGAGCCGCACTCCGATATCTGAACAAAATACCGTTCGAACACCGGATTGCGATAACAACGCAAGGAATTTTAAAAGAAAATTAAACCAAAAAAAAAAACTTTATACATGCAGTTTCTTAGTCGTATCAGGTAACAAGAGAGGCAACCGCCCACCGCTTATCACAGCACGCCAGCGGCTCCCAGCTAAGTGCTTTAATTTTTCCCCAGTGTTATCCGGCAGCCATGCTAACCGCCGCGGAGGTCCACTAAAACGCCGGGCATGCCTTGGAAGCTGTCCAAAACCGATGTTGGCCAGCACGTGTTGTCGGTACAACTGTTTGTTTGTTCCCAAGCTAGCGTTCCGATCGTCCGATTCGAACGGAAACAAAGACCACGTCGTGTTTTACGACTGCCGCCAGACTCAAAAGAACGGCGCACTGCGTGAAAAAGTGCAATTCGCTCTTTAACACAAATCCGGCCGGGCGAGAAGAAAAAGCGAGCGATAACAATGGATTAGGCCCCTTGCTCCGCGGCCGTTTAATGGGGTCCGCAGAAAGGGGCTCCCCTCTGATGTAAGCGATAATGACGACGCCGAAAAGAAAAACACGGAAGATGCTGGCGCAACCGGGGACAAAGAAACGACCCTTGTCAAAGCACGCGGTTGTCTCGAGCGAAGTTGACCACTCAGGAAATGCGCCAACTTTCTGGAACCGGTGTAAATGCTCTCGTTCCTAATGGCGCATTCAACTCCGGAGTGACCCATAGGGGATAGGCGCTGCGATTAGGGCTGTACCGGTGACAAGCGTTTCAGCTCATCTACAGTCAAAGCATATGTTACGTGACCATCACTGTGGCTTGCGAGATAGCCGATGCTAATCGAGATGGCCAAGTGGGCGAGATGTTTTGTCGTCTCAAAGGCAAACGTGGCGCTCAAAGAACGAAGGCAATTAAGAAAAAAAAAAAAAAAAAAAAAACTAAACGGGAAAATCGCTTAAAGCTTTCTTTCCGGCCCTTCCGATTGCTCGGCTGCCCAGCACAAGGACCAGGATAACATTGTGTCTAAGTCTGCAGTGCTACGCCAGGTGGCGGGGCTGTCTTTACAGACTCGTAAAAAGTAGTCTCTCGAGTTACGGCCTATGGATCTTCTGGGAGGCCACGTGGTCAGTCGTCCATCTGTTGAATTTGCCACCAAACACGGCAGAGTGGAAAAAATGCTTGCGCGTGCCACTTCTTCAGAGATTACGCTTATACTCAATCAATGATATCTCTGAAAAGCGTACCGCCAACTTCTAAGCCTCAGTGTTGGCTGACCTGTTTGATTCGGAAACGCGATCTGTGCGCGGGCAGCGAGTGAGCATGCTAGGCGCTCCGTTTAATGAACCTGAGCCGATCCCGTCTGTAAGACAAATCGTTCGTTGCGATTTTGTTAGTCGTTGGACGCGCTCTGAAAATCACACTGATTTTTTTATTCCCAGCGGACTTCGTGGAGCAATAGGATCGCGGGCACATTTTTAAAGTTACTTTGATATTCGTCTACCGTCTGCTCGAATGCGCACAAATAGTCATTGCAGGTTAGTCGCAATCGCATAAAACATCCACAGAGCCACTAAAAGCTTGAGGAACTTAGGGCGTGGCATTGTTACCTTCACGCTTCTTGCTTTGTGATTGGTTCTTTGGTGTTTTTATTGTCAATGTCGCGCTCTCATTGGCTGGGGGCGCGCCAAGCCTTGCCTGTGTTTCATAAACCGTCATTGATTATAGTAGCGAACACACCCCACTTTCAAAGCAGCTTTCCAATTTCTTGTTTTGCCGAAGGCAGGCCTCGAAAATCTCGGGTAACCTATGAAATTGCGCAATCTCCTCCCCTCTACCATGACGGCCTAGTCTCACTGAAGTGATTAGAGACAGATGCTTTTCCTCTTACAAAACAGACTTCGCTTAATGGTGACCGAAGCATTATTTATTTATAATCCCTCCTTCACAAACACGTTATTCTAAAGCGAATTACCGATGAGAACAAGGCTGCTAAAAGAGTAGTTTTGTCCCGTCTGTAATCCATACTTACCGCTTGTCGTTCTTGTTAGATGTCTTCGTAAGGATTACCTGGAACAAATCGTAAAGAAACAGGCACTTTTATAATGATCCTTGGCAGTTAACCTCTTTTTATGTATAATTTGAGGTTTCCTGCACCATTTGTTAGATCGGGCTGAGTGATGACCGGCATCCACCAAACGCGATAATGCGCCATAATGCAGACCGATGTGCGGACTCAGCATGCTATAAAAACAGTAAAAAAAAGTCGTTTGTTCTTAGTGCACAGATCTTGTGACATCGCGGAATCAGTAGTAAGCTGGATGATGCTCAATAGAAGGAGTACACACCCAGAAAACAAGCGATCCTGTGCAACACGGGCAACTCGAATGCCATTTACAACGAATGACGTTTGTGTGATCGGCGAATCAGCTCGCAATCTGTCGCGCGTGGAATGCGCTACGCCCGGAGTGTCGCGCGCTGATTGGTCGTCTGCTCAAATGTCATTCGCTGCAAATAGCATCCGAGTTGCCCGTGTGGCAGGGGTATTAGAGTATCCCACACAATACTCTGCGATGCCTACAGCGACTATTCCCCCTCTGCAGGCGTATCCTGGTGGCCCAACACCAACACATCATCTATAGAGAGTTCGTGCCGGAGATGCTGGGTTACCGTCGCAGTGCCGCTCTAGGCCTTGACAATCCCTGGGAGCGCACCCAGTACGAACCGAGTCGTGACGCATCGATCCTGGTCGAGTTCACGACGGCCGCCTTCCGGTTCGGACACGGCCTGATCGAAGACTTTACGCTCGTCGACTGCCGGGGTGCGGTCACCGCCTATCCGCTCTCGGACCGCTTCTTTCTGGTTCAGGACCTCTACCAGAAGGTAAGGTTATCGTCTCTAAAGCGCGTCTCCCACTCCTGTCTTTACAGCGTCCTGAAAAGTTGTCGTTCGGTTTACGCCCGACGAGGTCTTAAAAGTGCCTGTCGCGAGCGCCCCTGGCGGCGGTATAGAGCAGCGGAGGTAAATGCGGCAGGCACCTGTTTTGCTGCATTTCACTCTGCAGCCAGTCAGTCGACGGAAACTAAAGCAGATAGGGGATGGGCGCCACGACGACCGTTATACCCTTGCGTCAGCTTGCCTTTTTTTGCTATCAGTTCCACTATAAACCTCTATATAGGATCGCGGCACCCGACAACATGGCACGCCGGCCCCGTGCCCAGTTTCTCGCCACTTCGGGACCAGTTTCGACGCATAGGAGATAAGGCTGTCGACACACCGCCGGACGACGCGTTTCAGGCATTTTACTAAGTCCGCCCAGCAGATGACAACAGTATTTAGACAAAAGAAAAAGACCGAGAGTGCGACGACGGTAGCAGTGTCTCGACCGAAGCGTTACGTTCTCTCAGCTGTTCTAGTCGGAGTTAATATTATGCCAGTCTTGATTATTTCCTAAATTTACCAGAACGATGGCACATGACGTCGGATGTCGGAACGTTGCAGTACTCTTAAAGTCAGAGTTTAAGACGACTACAATGTCCAGTTTTTTTAATTCGTAAGCAGCGGTATCACTTTACCAACCAACGTCAAAACCTCTAAGCAACGGCGTTTCAAACACGCAGAGCTAAACCTGTGTCTTAGGCGACGCTGTACAACCACATCACCGAGTCTGGCTTGGTGCTATTTTCGTTTATGTTGTTTGTCAGAACTGACGGACGCATTTCTGCGCTGGTACGTGTATTATATGTTAGGCCAATAAGGTAATGTTCACAGTGATGCTTTATAAAACTATGGCTCTGTACCGTACAGAGCGCAAACGCCACTGGTATACATGACACAATGGCTGTAAATTTTTCACTCTCCTACGATAAAATGAAATCCGGCGTTTTTCAAATCCAGACATGTAGATTATAGTTATCATCCAAGTTTAGTTGAAGCAAAAAAATGTGTGCTCACTGAGTGTACTACACTTAAACGATTTACGTACACACGTCAGCGAGGCATGTTGTCCCTACCGTAGCTGCTGAAAGTACGCTCTAATATTTCTTGTCAGTGTACTCCACAAAGCATGCCCATGAAGAATTCCCACAACCATTAAACAAAGAGGTCTGAGAAAAATATGAATTCAAAACACAACGCTCGCTGGGATTAAGTTTTAAGAAAGGCTCTTTCTTTCTGCGCATAAATGTCTGAAGTTGTATTTTTCTTAACTTTATATTCCGGAGGCTCTGCGAGAGCTCTTCGGGAAAGTAGTCGCGCAGGCAGTTCATACTGTAATATTACACAGTGCTCTCTGAGCACTGTAAAATAATAATTAACCCACGCGGACTTTTAGAATAACCTATAGACACCGCGAATATTTCTCAGTAAGAAGCCCTACTAGATTACGTTACTGCTGCGTTAAGGTCGGCACGTTAGCGGTGGCGTATTATCTCCTAATATATTAACCCTCCACAAAAAAATGCGGTGCGGAGCAGCTAATGCATGAAATATTTCGAAGAAAAAAAATTAACCGTGAACATCCGCCCTCCTCTGACTTTCTGTTGCAGAAGCGTAAGAGGGAGTCATACTTCTCTTTCTGTAACGTGAAACGTCACGTAAAATGGCCTCGTTCGATTTACCTGCCCCAGTTTATATCGGTGCAAAAAAGTGTAGCGCGGTGCAGAAAAGTGCAGGGCAATGTACTTCCGGTTGTGTCTTGAGACAGGCTGTACACCTAAATCGAATACGGCTGTGTACCCCGAGTGCAGCTGGTGCAGGAGGTGCCGGTAAGTCGAACGTAGCAGACAATCTTCCTCAGGGACCGTTAGTCACGTCAGTTAATTGCCCAGATGCCGCCAGTCACGCCCCGGAACTGGTTTTCGATACGGCTCCGTTGACGTCATTTCCTCTTCCGTCCATCCTCCAGGGCACTCTGGACCGGATTATGCGCGGTCTGTGCCTGCAAGCGGGCCGCGTACCGGGGCCATCGCTGTCGAACTCCGTGGGGCGCCACCTGTACCGGAACTCGACGAGCGAGGCGGGTCTAGACCTGGCCTCGATTGACATGCAGCGCGGTCGGGACCATGCTATCCCGGGATACGGCCACTTGCTGCGTCGCTACATGGGACGGCAGGTGCAGTCCTTCGACCAGCTGGCGGCCTACATGCCGGAGGGAAGGGTCCAAGTCCTGCGCGATCTCTATGAGTACGTGGTACACCCTTTAAGCCAGTCAGTGTGTTTAGAAAATGAACATTTAGAATTTCTAGGGTATTACCACATTTCACCGAAATAACCTACGGGATTTTCCAGACTGCGGACAATATATGTTCAAATGTTGAAATATTTCTCGGTCTATCTGTAATTCCGGACTATGCAAGTATTGGTGTTTTTGTTGATCATTCGTTATGAAGAGATCGACATGACGGAGTTTGAGAAAGTCAGACAATGTTAACGATTACTTATGTATGATAGAATCTTTCTTATTACATACTAATGCAGGCGTTCGTCAAGGTCTGTTGTAAAAAAAAAATGTTTTGCGTGACCGCACACACCAGGCGTGAACTATTCAAAAGATTTAAACTATCTAAAAAAAAAACGTTTTTCTCCACACTAAATTCGCTTTCGTGGGTTATACACCGGACCCGGACTGTACTCCAGAAACTGGAGTATTTTGTGGCAGAAGAAATAAATATAAATAATAGGAAGAACATAAAACACAAAGACGAATAAGACGACTGGGAAATCGTCTTTTCCGTTTTAGTATTTTATGTTTTTCCCATTATTTATATTGCCCTTACCAGCACGCTCTCCATTCCAGGTATAAGAAAGAAATGAAGAGCAAAACAGGAAGACAGAGGAGTTAACCTGGATATGTGTGCCGGTTGGCCCACTTAGTGCGGAAGGGGAGGGATGGGGAGACTTAAAGAGAGGTTGAAAGAGGAGATGAAGCATAAAATTGTTGGTGCAGAAAACAGTCAACACGAAAGCACGCTTGTATGAATTGATAATCTCATTCTCTCTAGCGAAGGTGCTCGGTGTCAGTTTTTAGCCACACAAAACAGCTAAGGCCATGAAAGCCTTTGTCTCCTCAAAAAAAAATTGTCTGTCTCCTGAACATTTTAAAGGCGTTCTAAATTCAGTGCATTCGTGGGGCATTTTTGCGCTCCTTCTTCTTCGGGCAAAGCGAGGACACCGAAGGGCAGGGTGCGAGAGTTTTGTTATATATAAAGCAGTATATATAAAGTTAGGTTACGGTGTCAAGTGAGTCACAGTTGTATATGACGCCAAGTTTCACGACGACGTCACGTGACTTATGGAGCCATGTGAAGTCACAATATCCCCTTGACGTCATCATGTCACGTGACACACTGACCTTATCGAGGGTGCATATTGCCGCGTGCACAGCTATCCAAGTAGGCAGTGCGCTCGGCTTCCGCGCAAAGGACCGAGGTTCGCTGCCTGGGGACGTACACATTTTTGTTATTTGTCTAGATGTCACATTTAGGTGAATTCGAGAACCCCGTTGCTTACTCGAGGTCCGAAGGTTATACGCGCCGAACTTTCTACGCTGATTATTCCAGAAGTTCATACATGTACATAAGAGGCTTCGCGTGGCGAGTCGGAATTACTCATTCGCCAGCGCTCGATCCAGCTGCCACGCCGCCAGCGACGCCTGTACCTCTGTTTTTGCTCTGGACGCAGGTTCGCTCTTATTTAGAGGTTAGTTTTCTACCGCATCAACCGTCTCTCTGCCTGTGATTCGTGGCAATATGCGATGGACACAAAATCCCTGAGGCTGACTCTATGATTGCTATACATTAAAACGCATTGACTTCTGCATGTAGAGGATGAAGGTCGCTGCTCATGAACAGGCCCGAGTTTATATTGCTTCAAGCTCGTGCCAGGGTTGTGACTGAGGTTCATTGAGGGTGAGTAATACTTGCCGATGAACAACGAACATATGACTGAAAAAAGTTAGTTACATAAATTCATGACATTCGTTAGTAAGAATGCAGTTAACCCCTCGTATAAGTGCAGCAAGTAGCATGTGTCTACACGGTAAGGTTAGAAAAGAATGAGTACAAAACCGAACTTCATTTCAAAGATTAAGTTTTTTTTTTTTTTTTTTGTAAGTTTGGCCTTCGAAGCAAGATTCTCTAAATCTGCCGACTAAAAACAACCCTCCCCCCCCCCCCCCCCCCAAAAAAAAAAAAAAAAAGAAAACACGTTTTAGACTTTTGCGTTTATATAAAAATGTCACATGAACTAAAAGCAAACGCAATCGTTGTCATAAGTGGTATTGATAAGTTGCCGGGGCAAATAAATCGAAACTTCTCTGGCTGAATGCATATTTCAACTTAAATTCATGTCCTTAATGGTTGGAGACCGTTCTACTTAATATGGAAATCTAGAGGTCTAAAAGATAATCTGGCTTAGTGAGCCTAACTGTACCGTCGCAATAATGTAACCACCAAGATCTGGTTACCTAAACCATACTTACAGTTCAGTAAGCCGATTTTAAACTCCGCAAGCACCGGTAACAATGTTTTTGCTGAGGACAATTACTTTGGGTGTAATGCTGCGCTCTGGTTCCGCCGCAGGCTCTGTTTGCGGGGCTTATTCACCACGTAAAGCTTCCAGCAGTATGAGGAGTATAGAAATGTAACTCCCAAGTTTCGAGTAGGTTCATGGGGAGAAAAAACAAATATTATTAAACATGGTTAAAATCGCGCACAAAGAGACAAAGAGACGAGGCGCGATTTTAACCATGTTCAACGTTTACCAACTCGCCCAACTTACTACTCTTCTACAAATATTATTAGGTCGCGTTTTGGTTATGCGTCATTCTACTCTTCACGTGTGCTTACAAAAACTAATAAATAAATATATATATATATATATATATATATATATATATATACAAGAGGCTGGTTGACGCGACCACTCACCTACAAGTTTCTGGTGTGGCGTGCCGAACTCCAACTCTTAAGGCGCATTCCCACCGGCGATATAAGCAGTCTCGCGACGCGACTAGATGGCATCGCAAAAAAAATTAGATGGTCACACCGGCGTGTGCGATGAGCGAGTCCAACGCCTTCGTTGGCGAGTCGTTTCTGGAAAACTCGCTCCGAACGCCGTTGATTGGCTCAGCCGCTCCGCGATTAGATCGCATCGCAAAAAAGTAGGGTCGGGAAGCGATTGCTCAAATCCCGTCGCTTTTTGCCCGCGATGGTCGCTTTTGCGATGAAAGTTATGGCGTGACTAGATCGCATCGCCGGTGGGAACGCGCCTTTAGCCCCACCTTCATCGAGCCTCCTTCCAATACATTTGCCACCTGACTGGTACCCACATAACTGGTGACGATGGATTTGCGCGACTGCACCCCTTCTCGGGCCAGGCGCAGGAGGGCGCTCGACCATCGCTGACGCTCCCCGGCCTCCTCCTCCCCCCTGACCCCCTCCTCCTCCTCCTCTTCCTCCTCGCTGCCGGGGTACAGCTCTCTGGACATATATATATATATATATATATATATATATACGAAACTAAACAGTACACAGAGAGCTGGTCGGAAATTGAGTCCGCCGAAACCAGTGGCCGGGATGGTCTAATCGGTTAAGGCGTCGCCCCGGACAGGCGAAGGTTGCGGGTTCCATCCCCGCTCCTGGCCCAATTTTTCGCCAGCTCTCTTTCCTTTTTCCTTTCCCTAACTTTAATGAAATACATTCAATAATCACCTTCTTCCCTCTTCGTTCACAATATTACTACGGCTGCACTTGTCAATCTTTACTCGTTCCCATTATATATATATGTATATATATATATATATATATATATATATATATATATATATATATATATATATATATATATATAAAATAAGAGTGTAGCTTACGGATTCAGCGTCTATATATATATATATATATATATATATTTATATATATATATATAATGGGAATGAGTGAAGATTGACAAGTGCAGCCGTAGTAATATTGTCCATATATAGCGTATATATACATATATATAGATAGATAGATATATAGACGCTGAATCCGTAAGTTACACTCTTATTTTATCCAACGATGTCCCCTTCCTTTATTATATCAATCTTTAAATCTTTATATTCTGGCTAGTCCATAACATATGCTAACAACGGGGCAATGATAATGCTCATGGCAGGAGCTCCCTTCGGAAAGAAGCCTCATAGTGTTTTTAGAAGCAAAGATTCGGTCTTTGCAGCTTTATCTCTTGTATTAATTCTTATATTTTTTTTAACAATAGAGTATAATTTTGCGTGTGAGTACTCGTGCTCTAGTTATTGAAAGCATCGAACGACTTATTTGTTGTCTTAAAAATGTTTTCTTCTATGACCATGAGCCGAGTTGCGATTTTCAAAACATGTCTTGATTTAGAAAAATGTCTTGATAAAGGCGTCTGCTACTATTAGGCGTCTATTAAGTGATTTCAGTCTGATTTTATCAACTTTGTTGTCGGGACACTCAAGGTAATTCTCCGAAAATTACCTTGAGTCTCCCTAAAAATTGCATATTGTCTCCACTGTCCAGATTTTCAAATAAGTGTACGGTTATATGACTCGCACGCATCTACAGAATTTGTCTTTCACCCGTCGGTAATATTTTTGCGAGCATGGCATTCTTTACGCAACGCTCAACATTTCTAAGAGCAGCGATGTACAAAGCAGAAAACCACGGCAATGTAGCGGACAATGTGCCTCAAAGATGATACAAGAGGCTGTAATCAGCGGCACTTTTGAGAGTGAGCTGTAGAGTACCGAAAAGTACGGATTTAGGCAAACGCAATTGCAAACCTAGAGGTAGCGGGGCTTTATCTACAGATGAAGTTTAAGATCTTGGATTCTGCGGCAGAGAAAATGGACAGGCTGGCGAAAAACAAAATTCTTAAGTCGCTTGAAAAAAGCCCTTACATAGAACTCATATGTCCGCTAACAACTCCAAATGGCGCCAATGACTTGATGGAAAACGAGCACTACGTTTTCGCCCATCGCTGTAGCTGAACTGTAGCGAGTTCTTTGACTTCAAGTATCTCTTTACAGAGAAAAGGCACAGCCATGAAAAGAGGCCCTTGAAATACTCGTGATCAGTTCCTCCGATGCAAGATAATAGAACTTGTGATTTCGTAATAAACAAGCGAGTTGAATATTTTAGCACTAATCATAGCAGTTTCAGCACCGTCATTGTAGAGCATGTTTTCCCTGAAAGTGTCCCTATTCTTTTTTTTTGGCATTTGGTGCTTTGATTTCGCCCTAATTTCATTATTATTTTTATTATAATTTCCCAGCTCTCACCAGAAGTCCCCTAATGCATATTTGTTTCACATATTATCCCCTACAATCTTTTCAGAGCTGCATTATTTTTGTTGTAAAATAAAAAAAAAGTAAAATAAAATTACTTAGAGTAATTTATTACATTACTCAATTACCTACACAAAAAGGTAAATAATTACATTACTCATTACTGCCAAAATAACTAAATTACTGTAGTTACATTTCAGTAATTTCATTACTGCGACCCCTGCGCGAGACTGGAAATCAGCCAGCGTAATGACAACTATCATATTCGCCTCCATGTTTTCGGCCACTCAGCGCGGGCATGCGCAGTCGAGCAGTTAGACTCATAGCTCGGTTGGTCCACCTCCGCCATTATTCGAGATGTCCCCTTATATTGGAATGATTTGCATTTCGCGTGCCTGACGGGGAAGCGAACGTGTCAGTCATATTGAAGTTTTGCGGTCTTAAACTCACTGAGTAAGTAAAACGATCATGATCATGATGACTTTATTGTGAAACTTTTGTTTTGATTCGGGCAACAACCAGCCAAGTTCGTACCTAACCAAGAAATGCAATACAGAACCAAAAATGTTATCACATTTCTTGTGCTCCTCACCACAAATTTTCTTTCTCTTCTTTGTTCTTTCGATTAATTCCCTGTACCGGCAAGTGGGCTTTCTTGTCATTACGGCGCGCCGTGTGTCCTCATTTTAAATGTCACCCACCGCATTCATTCCAGCGCGAGCAGAGACCCCGTGCCAGATGACCGGAAGCCGAGTGCTTCCGCCTGCCTTTGATCATTTGGCGTAAGGCCTGGCCAAGCTGAAGTCTATTGTCTGGCGCCTGCCTCCACTTCATCGGATAATATGTTTTTTTTTTGTTGTTTTCTTAACACGAGAGTACGATGTTCTCGATGATTTCATTTGTTTTACACATAAGAGGCTCCACACATTCGGCATGTTGTCGACTCCATAATCCGATAAAATCTCTTTAATAAACCAGCGTCCTTAACCCTCCGACCCGTGATTAGAAAGGGTGTCGAGATTTCTGGCTGTTGTCATATAATATGTAATCTTCTGAACATGAATTTGTACATAGTTTGTAACACCCACAGGCTTGACTTAACCTGGGCCGCCTCTGCGCATGTCTCCTCCTCGCGTACTCCATCCCTCACGTTTTGTCCCAGTCGGCAAGCACTGGAACGCAAAGAAGTCATATTTTTCTTTCCGGTTGGCAAAGTTATTTTTGCCACCTTGTCTGCTCAACTGCTAGAAAAGTGTATGCAAAGAGTCGCTTTGCCTTCCGACTTTGGTTCATGAGTCCACAAGCCAACCGTCATAATCAAGCCTGCTTCTCACTTCTCTGACCCCGAAGGATGTCCACCCAAGACCTCCTTCAACGGCTTTAATTTCTACCATTCCGTGGCATTTTGCGGCCTACATACTGACGGTCCGACGCCAGCGCTCCAGTGTGTTCCGCAAACCTCCGGGAATGCACATGACAGCGTTGGCAAAAAACGTAGATGAAGGTACCATGGCCGCTTTCCGCGCAGAGTTTTCACGTAACAACAAGCAGATTGCAGCTACGTTGGTTACATTTGCGGAGGAATTTGGTGCCTCGCATGCCTTCCTCTCGGGAGTGTAGGGTGATTTCATGTGACGCACTTCCGGCTTCAAATGTCTCCTAACATCATGTTGCAACACTTTCGTTGTATGTTTCCTAAGCGCGGATAAAGTGTTTTTCAGCTTGGTCGAGTTATTTTTTGCGTCGTGACTGTCTGCTTTGACGGAGTACAGTCAGTGACACAAGAAGCATCATCTGATACTCGAGTTTTCTACATACCGTGGTATTTATTCTTAGTTAACGCGCGCCGGCAATTAAGAAGTATCGTCCGTGGCCATAAAATCCCCAAATGCCGCCCGGATAACACTGGAAAACAATTTTAAAAATCAAATCAGATTAAGCTTGGATTTATGCAACCTACGTCCTCCATCGTAATTACTAAGTTTCGTCGTTGACGGAGCCACTCGCCATGCTTAAGCATTTTACGAACACCAAAAACGACGTCCGTAGCGTCTGCGTGTAAACAAATGTCGAAAGTGGCGAACGATGTTCATCAACTGGAAAGGAAAATGCTGGAAAGGAAAATTCATCACGCGTAAAGAACGCTCCTTTTAGTGTACGCCTTGTCGACTACCAAATTTGTGCTTTATAAGAGATATCACTTCGCGGGGTGTTATCTCAAAAGCAGCGGGTAAACGAAGATGTCCTTAACCTCAAACAAGGTTTCGGACCTCCTGCTCAACACGGCATCGTTGCACGATGTCTTCAGTATAGATGCCAGTTAAGCTTACTGCGAATAGCAACATTCCCCATAGCAAGTCGGCTAATAGACCTATCTCGCCAGCCAGTTTCGTAGCGCCAACGCCGCCGGCATGCATTGTGGAAACTGCAGTCTTTCCGCACGCTTGATAATCGCGCTCTGGGACTGCGCGAGCAGAGACACGGGCCGTCTCGTGCAATGGCACTTGTTTCCTGTGGACTACAGTTATGACGGCGTCACGCATGCGTGAAACGCTAAGTGAGATTAGTTTGTCGTAATACTGGCCATCTATTTTTTAAGTACAGTTTAATATTGATGTCTGCAAATAAAAAAGCTATTTCGTAGAAATGTGCATGAGATTCAGTCACTATATAGCAATCCATGGAATTATGTACGCAAACGTGCAGCGCTTTCTATTTTTTTGCATCAGCAGTCAGTGTAAAGATACTTTACTAAACCTAGGTGGGATAAAGTATAAATTACTTTATTGATAAAATATTTAAACATGCACACACGCAAACAGACGGTTCGGCGACCGACGCGAATCTTATGACGAGTAATTCTTAATATACCTTGCCGTTTTTCTTTACTTTAATGCCTAAAAAAAAAAAAAAATTCCATACCGCTTTGAAAAAAAAAAAAAAAAAGATTTACAGTCTCACCTACGGGAAAAAGAGCTCAATACGAGGCTCTTAATCTAACCGCAGATACGAGATGCAAGAAGCCGTACGGCGGCTCCGACGGGCATGGATTTGCATCTGATTCATCTCTTGACCGTTTCGTGGACATTTCGATGTCTTTCTCTTTGTGCTTTCCGCCGTCGACAGTCCCAGAAGTCACAAAATAAAGAGAGGCATCTATCGCACCTTCGATTTGCAGCAATTTCAGTACGTTCCCAAGGTTTCCGCGTTATTTGGGTCGCTTCAATGACCGCCCGAAATGCTGGCGGGAAGTGGCAAAGCCGCTCGTTCGCGAAGGCGCTGCTATATTCGCCGTCATTGTCCGAGCGCCGCAAACGAGGTCGGCCGAATTTCGAAGTTCCTTATAAACAACACCCCGGCGACTTAACAAGAGCTCCCCCCCCCCCCCCTTCCCCCCCAATGCAGTCGTCGGGCGTAAGATCAGGCAGGCTTCTTCCTCTGGGGACCGTCCGGGAGGACGCTACAGCGCAGGCGCTAATCTGGTTTGATTGAAAACACTGACTGAACGTAGCATGGCCACGTCGTGACAAAGCGCTCGATCACGAGCTCGTGACGTGCTTCTAGTGTGAGATGTTTGAGGGCCAGTTTGGAGCTCGTATTGCTGGACTACACGGCCAATAACAACGACATTATGGGGATCGGCGACATTTAATGTTGGCGTTATTTGTACTTTGATTTTTGTCAAAGTTTATAGTAAAGTTGGGTTCTCTATTACTCGCACCCGTACGCGAGTGAACCAGTGGACTCATAAAACAAAGATGTGTTTTTCATTAAAACTTTTTTTGGGTGGCTGGAGCGTCATGAACCCTCGTTATAAAACGACGCAGCTTCTCTGGATGCATGAAACACCTTGATATTAGTTTCAGAAAAAAAAAAGAATGAAGAGAGTCGTGAAGAAGGTTCTACATACGCTTGTGCACCTCTCTTTTAGGGGCGTATTAAGACGAGGCACTCGCGTGTGTAGTAAACATTTTAGTTATTGTTCAGTTGTGATCTTAGTAAATGTTTCTTTGTTGGTTTTTTTTCTCAAATTTGAACCAAGGTAATCTACGATGTCATGAACTACGCATTTTTTTTGTATCTTGCCCTTAATTACACTTTTTGTACGCCTAGTCTCTTCTTTCTTGTTTTTGTTTTGTAATAGTAACTTGATTATTATAATATTTGCATATGCATTGCCTCTTGAAACTAAATCACGTCTAAGTATTTTTTACTATATAGATAGTAATTTTTCTGCTGAATATTTTATTTTTTTCGCTTTGAAGTGCCGAAATTTTTTAAACAAAAAGGGACAACAAACCGAAGTCCCGGGTTTCCGCGATGTTGAACGTTCGTCAGCTCGCCTGGATAATCTCTGTTGTTTCTATAATTCCTACATTTTATCCTGCCTTATTTCGGTTTTACAGCTCTCTTCTCTCGGCCTTTGCTCTCCTTTCTGACATTTAGCTAAGATCTTTGTTCTTTTTCTTTTTCTTTTTACGAACATATCTTTCCTTATTTGCCAATCTGGCCCAGCAGTCTATTTAGCAGTCAGTGAGCCCCATGGAAGAACTTGACGCATTTTCGGGTGTTGTGACCTGACTGTTGTGCCTGGTCCCAGGCACCCCGACGACGTGGACCTGTGGGCGGCGGGGCTGATGGAGTTTCCCTCCGAACCGGGGTCCCTGGTGGGTCCCACGTTCGCCTCCATCCTGGCACGACAGTTCCGCAGCCTCAAGTACGGGGACCGCTTCTTCTACACCCACGGGTACGGACCCCACGTGCACCCGTTGAGTGACGGTAAGTGTACCTTTGTTTACAGGAGCTTTGCGTGCGGATGTTGCCGGGAAAAAAATGCACCTGCTAAAAGAAATATGCTTCTTGAATAAGTGGATGTGACACAAAGGACGTCGAATAATAAAAAAAAGTTTTATAATGAGCGACTTCAGGACGGTATTGATGAACACCGGGGACTCCACAGGGTGCCTCGGACGACATGCGCAACAGCGCGAGCCAGAAAGTGTGAGGCGATCCAGAAGCCACCGATCTGGCCGAGTAAAATCTGCAAAGTATTTGCAGATTCTACTAAAGGAACTCCGCGGAAAAGCGTGACGTTGTTACCACGAGATGCGCATCACAGGGGAGCAAAGGAACGGTCCCCGCGTGGAATGTCCCTTTACGCTCTACGAGATCGATTTTGAACCCAAATAGATTATCAAACTGTCCACGTTCATGTCGATGGAGCTATCGCGCTCCCACGCTTCTACTTCGAGGCGCTCCACACGTCTGCAGTCCCGTAACCAGTTCTCTTGGTGTACAGGAGCTGCAGTTTCTACACCCAGACAACAGTGATGCGGTGTTGTTTGGAGAATAAATGGCGGAGCACAGGCTGACGCCATTTTCTTTTTCTCTGATCTGGTGCTTCAAGAACCCGGGACGAACTTAAGCCCATAAGGACCCGTTGTAAATAGAAAATATTATTATTATCACTTTAATTTTTAACGTCCGACATTATATGTCACAGTAATTATAACTCAAATCACGAATTTTAAAATTATAATTTAGGCAAACGCAAAACTATTAATTAAGTCCGGGGGCTGTGTTCAGCTGTGTAGGAAGACGACGGGCTTCGGCTCAGTGCCGTGGCAGACGTGGCCAAGAAAAGTCCACAGGTATAAGTGAATCAACAAAACCTTCCAGTGCTGTGTAGGGTCTTGGGTGCAAAATAAACTACCACGAATGCTGAAGGTAACAGTCTGAAACGTGATCTATGTTGAGACCATGTACCCTCAAAAAAGGGAGTGTAGTACGTACACCCCTTGTCCCATATATAACACGCCCATAACTACAATTAAACGTTCAGTTCACAGACGTCGAACCGACGATACCAACATTCACGAGCGGCTCGAGAGTCGAGCGATACAACTAATTAAAATCGCTAACGTACGAATTAAAACTACAGAAAAAAAACCCTTAAGGTTTTGTTGGCCTTGTTGCAAAAGCTCAGTGTATTTTTTTTTCTGTAGTCTTCGATACGTGTATTAGCTATTTAATAAGATATATCAGACAGTTATCAAGAGGATCGTAAAAGGTGGTATCGTCAGTTCGACGTCAATTGTCTGAACGTCGAAATGTAATTTTGGGCTGTTACATACCTGACAAGGTGTGTAAATACTACAACCCCCATTCCTGAGAGTCTAGAAACTTTTAGTAGACCGTATTAATTTACGTTTTGCTCGCGGGAATCGGTGCCGTCACTTCGAAGCGTGAATTGTGCACGCCTCCGCCAGGCATGCTCTCCGCCAGCGTACAGTCCACTAAAACTCTAAAGATATTCAGATACCGTGCACGGTCGCCCGTTTTATTAGGGAGTTTTAGAGAACCATTTTTGCACACTCGATACGGTAGGGTGGGCCCTCCGGTACGAATCGCACGTGTACTACCGCAGGAGGCTCGCACATGCGCAGTTCGTACCAGAGGGCCCAGCGTACCATTGCAGATGTGTGAAAACGGTTCCCTAAAATCTATATTATTTATCTAGTCTCGGGTTTCTTGTAGAGACGTGTTCTATGGCACGTTTCTCAAAGAAAGTATCTAGTTTGCCCGATACCAGTGATACGTTGCCGGTACCGTTCCAACTCTCCCCTCCTGACACCTATTTCTGTCAAACGCAGAGCAACTGGAAGAGGTGTCGAAGTTCAGCCTGGCTAAGCTGATCTGTGCCAACGTTGACGATCCGGAAAAGTTCCTGGTGCAGCCTTTTGCCATGATCCAGCCAAATCAGCAGACGTACGTGGGCCCCATGATAAGACAAAGCACTCAATGAGGGTGTCAATGACCTGGCAGGATTCACTCGAAACGAAACCTCACCGTGGAGAGTCCCAGCACGAGGAGCGACGTTTCGAAATGGGAGCTATAGTCAGTGACATGTTAAGAAAAGTTTTCTGGCTGGAGAGGAGGAAGCAGACGGATTGCTGAAGAGAGGAGGTGGTTTCCTACTCTCCACTCCAGCACTATAGCGAAAGATCGTCTGGCCTTCCTCAGGCTCTCCAGTTGATATTTGTTTTTGAATCTTTTTCTGCCTGATACGATTGTAGTATTCAGCGTGGAGGTTGTTGTGCTCTTTGCGCACGTCGTGGGTTCAGTTACCCGCCGAATGCGCCCACGTGGGTTTGTCCACCCCCCCCCCCCCCCAAACCCAAACTCCCTCCCCCCACCCCTTTCCCCCGAACTCAATGAATGACGGCGCGCGCTTCGCTGCCTCGCAATCGCGAGTTTAAAAACTTTCGTTTCCTTTCGCTCTCAGTCATGTGGGTCCCATATCTGGTATGCGGAAAAAAAAAAGAAAAAGAAATACGGCACTTCAACGTGCAATATGCGAGATAATATATGTGAGGCAAGACAATACGTTCATTCGATTTAGGTGCACCTCCTGCACCGGTGCAGAGAACTTTAGGGCAGTCTACTTCCGGTATGCGTATTGAGATACGACCGGAAGTACACCGCCGTACACTTTCCTGCACCGGTGCAGGAGGTGCAGGTAAATCGAACGAGGCTGATGCGTGACAATGGCGCATTTCGGAGAGATCGCAACGATTAGTTTTAACGCATACCCGAAGGAACGACATTCAATATGGCCGCGCCCTTGGAGATAAAAGTGTATAGACCGATTCAGCTCTATGACGTCACGCTACTGCGATGCCGCTGCTGTCCGCATTCCGCACGGGCAGATGCCTCGCCTCGGGTGAATCTGTTTTCCGAACACGAACAATGTTCGCGCCCGTTGTGGGCAAACGCGGACTCGTTTACAAACAACGTGTTGGTATCAATTTCCCCGCCAAATTTAGCGAGACAATGCACGGACGGACGGACGGGCAGAAAGTAAAAGATAAAAGGTTCCGTTTAAAAAAAAAAAAAAACATTCTACACTTTAATAATAACCTACTCTCAAAGCCGGTTATAACGAAGTCAACGGGAATCGAAAATCACTTCGCTATATCCAGTATTTCGTTATAACCGATTTCGGTTATAACGAAGTGCAAAAAGGAATGGTAAATCGTGATCGCTTCGCTGTAGCCGCTATTTCGTTACAACCGACCTCGGTTATAATGAAGTGCAAAAAGGGAAGGGTAATCGTGATCGCTTCGCTGCAGCCGCTATTTCGTTATAACCGGTCTCGAGAGTAACTCGCTGTTTACCAGCAGTCCCGCGTTTGCCCACACCGGGTGGAGGCACTGCGCGCTGCCGGGGGCAGCGATACCGCAGCGGCCTGACGTCACAAGGTCCGTTCCACCTTATAATGTACCATAACGGGTGCTACGGGACATCCGAGCAAATCCGGGGCTCCACGCGTAGAGCGGGACTTGACGCTTCGCGCGTTGCTCTGTCCAACCCGTAGAAATATATACTAATTTAAGGGAAACTATTCCTCGCATTTCGGACGCTTCGGAACGCCGGGGCTAGACGCGGACACTGGTAGTCGCGACGGTCTCATCTAGCACGCGACGCTTTAGTATACTCGAAGCGGCACCGAAACATCACCGGCAAAGCCTGTCTCTACTTGTGCATTGGAGTGCAGCTCTTCGGCGCCCGTTTCGGCGTATAGCGGCGTCGGCGTCGCCGTCGTCGTAACCGTGCGCGTTGCATTATGGGACATCACAGACCTACACACTTTTAGTTGCCCGCTAAATTTAGCGAAAAAAACTGAATTTGTGTGTAGGTCAGTGCAGTCCCATAATGCAACACTGCGCATTCAGTTACTCTGCGAAATGTAGTGATAAAACTGACGTCACATGATCTCAATACCAATTCAGTTTCCCCGATAAAGTTAGCGGGGAATTGAATTGGTGGTGAGGTCAGGTGACGTCAATTTTCACGTTAAATCTATAGGAGAAATTGAACTCATTTATAAGTGACTTGACACGAAGTCATGTGACGTAATTTTCCCCACTAAATTTAGCGGAGTAACTGAATTGGTGTTGAGGTCATGTGGCATCAATTTTCTAGCTAAATTTATCGGGGAAACTGTGAGAGGAGAGGAGGGTATGGAGATGGAAGAAAGGAAAGTACGGAGGAAGAGGACACGGAAGAAGAGCAGTGTGCAGAACCTATATATATATATATATATATATATATATATATATATATATATATATATATATATATATATATATATATATATATATAAAGTTGTTTAGCACGGTATATCGCAGAATCAAAATACATGTTGAGCTGCGTTTCAATTTCGCTTTACGTTTGTAACGTTTTTCGCTTTTTTTTTTTTAGCTTTATTTTGAAGAATTACATCGGCATCGCGCCTGGTATCGAAAGAGATAAGCTGATGGGAGCTCGAACAACATCAACCCGTCGCGGCAAAACAAACACGCTCAACACTAAACTGTACTTTCTTTCTCCTATTTTCTGTCGCTACTTCTTTTCTTCTTTCTCTTAGGACTACCGATGTTAGCTCGTACTGTTTTTGCGCGTTCTGCTCCCGTCTTTGCCCCCGCGGCCAAATGGGAAAGTTACGTGACATGCTTCGAGCTATGAATCGGCTTGGTGGCTCGTATCGTCCGCTGTTGTACATCGTAAGGGGAAACCAGATTTGTGCCCGTTACTTGAAAAATGTAATGGATTACACTTACAAATTACCGAGCCTCAAATTTAGTGGATTACCGTTAGAAATTAATTTCGCTGAAAAGTAACGGATTACTTTACTTGTTACGTTACAAATTACTACTAGAAAACAAGAAACACAAGAGCCAAGAAAACAATACAAAACAATTTTGATATTTTCAAAAATGTTCTGCAACACTATTTTCCAATTACCATACCATCGCATTACGGTAGTCCTTGTAAGAATAAGATATTGCATTCAAGAGAAAGAATGTAGGTGCACTCCGTTCACCTGTAAGCTGACAAGGCAGCGAAAGCTGGAACCACACCCGCCATCCCGCTAGCTTACAGTGGCTGGAAAAGATCCCTGAAATTCTGCACGTGAAGCTAGCGGTGCGAATGCTCAGTAGCAGCGTCTAGCTCTGCTAGGAGATACGGAGCGAATGAACCGACCTACGAAAGCTCCTTTCAGTAACGGGCCTTTCAAGCCTATTAGCGGCGAGTTGTTTTGGCGGCGCCCTCGTATGGTTTCCTCTCGTGACGTTATTACCTTGCGAAATACGAGTTTGATGGTGTTTGTAATGAGCATGGTGGAAGCTTGAAATCAAATCGCTCTGATGCCAACACATGCCAACACCGTCAAAATCGAAGTTCTTACATTCCTCTTATTTCCGTCGATGAGAAATCCTTTCCTGACGTCATAGTCAGCATTCGGCCAATCGTGGAAGGCCGACCACAGCGACGCTTTCGATCGCACACGTCGTCAATACGCGACATCTCAAAGCTGCGCTCTCGTGCTTGTAGCTTTGACGCACTGTCAGCTTATGCATTTTTGAGGGCGATGTTTAGAGCGCATGCTTAGAACGAGCTAATATTAATGGGCTGCTAAGACCGAGCTAATAGGGAGTTTTAGTAGATCGTTTTCGAAGGCCCGCTACCGCTACGGTCGCGTGCTTCAAAACATGCGTCAGAGTGGCAGCGCGAGCTCCCGCTACAAATAGCGTGACCCGAAAACACGATCTACTAAAACTCTCTAATATTAATGGGTTGCTAAGACCGGCAATCTTGATGATGCGGAATGCGTGTTCCAGAAGAACTGTGAAAGCTCGCCATCAGCGCTCAGCAGTCACGCGCACAACAATGGCCGCCATTGAATACCCGCTATTATACTCCGTTTCACTTTATGTTGTACCGCAGTGAAGACTAGAAGCGCGAGCTCATAGCGTTGGCAGCTGCCCTTGGTGCACGAGAGCTTGTGCCGCCGAGATGTGCCCTAGAGCAAGGAGCTCGCGTTTGTAGCCTTTCATGCGGTACAACACAAGGTAAAACAGAGTATAGCGGCGAGGTGTTTCGGTGGCGCCCTCCTATGGTTTCCTCTCGTGACTTCATTACCTCGCGAACAACAAGCTCGATGATGATTGTAATGAGCATGGTGTAAGATTGAAATCATTGAGCTCTCAAACCAACGCTGCCAACATCTGCGAAATTGAGGTTCTTCCATTCCTCATATTTGCGTCGAAGATAAATTCTCTGCTGACATCATAGTCAGCATTCGGCCAATTGTGGAGGGCCAACCACAGCGACTCTTTCGATCGCGCACGTCAACTGCAGTACTAAAAAATGCATGAGCGCGAGCGGTCGTTTTCGAGCTACGGTCGGGCGGTTGGTCCCAGACTGATATTGCTACAGTTTCCGTATTATGTTCATCGTTTTAGAAAATAACGAGTAATTAAAGTAATCCGTCACCACAATTTCGTAACTGAATTACATTACAAATTACTGCCGCAAAAAAGTAACGTGGCAATTACAAAATTACTTGAAAAAGTAACGAATTACAAGTAATCCGTTACTTCTAACGGATTGCTTCCCAAGTCTGGGTGAAACCAGGGGGGTAGAGACGGGAGCAGAACGCCGCAATTGCGGAGCGCTCACAACAAAAAAGAGAGCGACAGAAGAGCGGAGAGAGAAAGCGGACAAGACGTTATGCTTGTTTTGCCGGGACGAGTTGAAGTTGTTTGGAGGGGTTGTCAATTTCATTTATTTTTTATCGAAATCCCCATGCTGGTGTTTTTTCTTCTTCTCTTTGCAAAGTAAGCTGGAAAAGGGCCAGATACATACTAATTACGGGGGCTATTTCGCTGCTTCTCTGTGTATATTAAGGCGTCCCGAGCGAT